GTGTGTGTGTGTGTGTGTGTGTGTGTGTGTGTGTGTGTGTGTGTGTGTGTGTGTGTGTGTGTGTGTACTTTTTAAACGTTATTTTGACATACTAGAATTTCAGCTATGAAAAAAAGTTTAAAGCCATTAAAAAAAGAATCAAAGCAATGAAAAACTAGAAAAGAACAGTGGGGTTCTCAGCTCTGCTTTGAGTGACGCCCGCTCCTCGCACGGTGCGTGCATTCTGATTGGTTGTTGAGAGGGACGTACGTACGTCACGCACGCAGCGTCCTTTCGCCATGGCGGAATGTGGTCGAGTTGACAGCAACACAAGTAGTGGTCACGCCATGGATAAAAGCATTACTCTTCCACCTGACGAAATATTCCGCAACCTGGAAAACGCAAAGAGGTTCGCTATAGACATAGGTAACCGGAAACTTTAAAGTTCTCTTTTATAAAATATTTAGCAACTTTAACAGGAAGGTTGCTAACCTGTATGTTTACGCTACTGTCGACTTTTTAGATGCACGCGAACAAGACAAAGCCAATTTTAGCTTGTCCGGGGCATCTTTAATGATCAGCAGTCTGAGGTGAAGCGTGGTTTTTCTGGAGCATTAAATCTCGTTAGCTTTGAGGATTATTTYCTTAAGCACATCCGGATCAACTACAGTCAACAGCTTGACGTTAGCTGTCTCTTATGTGTTTGTTATGCTGTTTCACTGGTTTCTTTCTTATCTGTGATATTTTTACTCAAACAGGTGGATCCCTGACGAAACTAGCTTACTACTCCACTGTACAGCACAAAGTGGCCAAAGTGCGATCCTTCGACCACAACGCGAAGGTACAAATGTTAATACATGAACAAGTGAGGCTGTGTTGTGATCAGCAGGGGGTTTGTTTTCACTGTTTTCTCCTCGGTGCTTCCCAGGAAGCTGCCAGCGACAAACTGTACGAAATATCCGTCCAGGAAGAGGTGACTGCACGTCTGCACTTCATCAAGTTTGAAAATGCTTACATTGAAACGTGCTTGGACTTCATCAAGGACCACCTGGTCAACACTGAAACCAAAGTGATCAAAGCCACGGGTGGAGGAGCGCACAAGTTCAAGGAGCTGATAGAAAAGAAACTTGGGCTTAAGTGAGTACGAAGTGTGGACGTCTGCTTTGTATTTGATGCTGCGCAGCACTGACGTGGGAAATGTGCTGACATGACAATAAACAACAGTCCTCACTTCAACAGAGGCACCAAAAGCAATATCCTGCCTCCTGCTGTAAAGCAGAGCTTTGTTTGTTTTCGTTTATTTTGAGCGTGTCAGACTTTATGACTAATTTTCAGGAAGATATGCTCCTTTTTTTTATCATTTTTTCCCAGTGTTCACAGCTTCTTTGCTGACTAACAAAATATTTTGGGTACAGCGTTGTACAAGTTTCAGTTTTTAGATTATTTTTAGTCACAGATCAATAATAACAAGGAAACTAATCTAAACAACCACATGTTTTTTTTGTTATTAGTCATGAGACAGGATGAGATTCTGACAGTGTCCTCACCCGGAACAAAAACAGCAGTTTGACTGTCATAAAAATACGTAATAAAACAATTTAAATGCTTTTATTTAAAGGGATACCCGATTAGTTGTAACATTAGACTTTATAGGATAAACATGTACTTTAACTGTAAAATAAAGATTGTAAAAATACTGTAGGATGTTCAGTTTTTATCATTTTTAAACTAAAAGTTTTA